CACTAAATACATAAAATCGTTTTACCCCATGCGGGTAGGGTATCGTCCACATGCTTGTATCATGCCAGTGAACTCAGATCCGCTGATTCGAGTGTCATTTTCCTGAACTGCCCCATTAAGATCTCCTCTGTGATGGAAGATATTGGTGAAGCAGAACGCCAGACGTGGCAGAAGGGTTGAACGGGCAAACTTCTGCAAAATGAACAACCGCCAAAAGCATGTATTTTTCAGAGAAAATTTTAGGCTACTGCCGCGACATCTTGCCAAAGTCTGATTAGTCCAAGGAGCTTCTCGCCATTCTGCTATTCAGCAACACTTATGCAATTCTGTTATAAAAACCCTGGTTACATTCCATGAACGATGAAAATAATCTGTTTGTAAGACTTAGTTTATTACCTCCTTGACTGTTTTGGGAAAGTTATTTTCGAGGTGGTGGTATAATAAGGTGAATGAACTTCACCTAGTGAGAAAACTGTTTCAAGAAGTTGAGGTTATGCGAAGACGATCTATTGTGCCTCATCGTGGAATGCATGCCAAGGCACTTACGTGCGTAAGCCAGCATTCTGAGTGATAACCTGTACCTGACTCTTCACTGCAAAAGCCAAGTTATTGATTCTGTTGTCGAGAAATTTATAACCGCGTTGGCCCAGGCCTGAACAGCCAACTGCTTGTGTTCACACTGACGACGTTAACCAACATCACCTGACACCGTTAAAGGATCTTGGTCTCACCGACCTCGTTTGGTTTCCCATAAGGCTTGACGCCGAACTGGACTGCGCAATGATAAACTATCCCAATTGTTTTGCCATTAGGGGATTTGCGTTTCTGGATATTTCTTATCATTGTATCCTTTGCCTGATACGCATATATGCAGCGAACAGCTGTAGCATACTTTTATTCAGCGCAGTCGGCGTGTTGCTACTCAGGGTCATTAGATACTGAAAGGATTAGAGAGTTAAAGTCTGTGAAACTGTCTGAAAACAAATGATTGAGACATTTTTCACGACGATGGCGTGAGCAAACGTTTGAAGTCATAATGGCACATATCAACTTTGTTTTCGATACGTGTTGCCCCCGGCAAAAAAATCCATACAATGGTTGTTGACTACCGATCGGATGGTGTTAAACGGCCGATTCCGCAAAAGATCAAAGAGTACAGGGCCGGAAATAAAGCAGCCTTTAAATGCCTGCTGAAGCAACTGACACTTAAAATTGCTCGACTCAAACACGGACACTCCGCTGCCATATTAGCCTGGCATACGTCAGAGTATGCCAAATAACGAATCACCCATACCGCCCCTTGCCTCCTGCATGAACAGCGTATGATGTCTATGCGGTAGTATGAGTACCAGCTCTTGAACATAGTTTGTGATGGGTGCGAGGTGGTTATAGCGGACGAAATGATACGACATGCGCCTGGTACAGCAGGTGCTTAAATACCACAGAGCCATCGCCTGCATAAATACTTTCTTAGGAAACTAGGAAGAAACTTAGACTGTTGCCCTGGGTCGAAACATTGAGTATATAAATGTTCCTCAGTCGTTTTCAATCGGACTACCGCTGCATAAGAACATAAAATTATTATCAATGTGAAGCAATTTCGAATAACCGTAGCCCTGCATACTGTTGATCGCAAACAAATTCTGATCGGCGTATTTGCCCACGCTATTGTCAAGCCGTCGCTTAATCCATTTTTGTATGGCCATAACATTCCGCAACCTACCTACTGC